CCCTCAAAATTATTTTCTGTGTTTGTAGTATTTTTGGAAAACCAAAACTTTTAATGGTAGTTTTAGAACAATAAACTTTTAATGGTATTTTAAAAATTCTTCGTTTATTTTTTTTAAAGATTAAAGTTTGAGACATATGTGGACTTGAGTTTATGCTTTATAGTCTTCGCATTAATAAATTAATACAAATCAAAGACTTTTGAAACTTTCTCCTTTAAAAAACACAAAAAATCGATTTTAAGGTTTGATATCTAAAAACAAACAAAGAATGGTTTCAGCGTATGTATATCTTTTTGTATCATTTTTATCTATAAATACAACAAAAGACGAGCTAAAGACTAAGGTAGGTATAAGAGAGATGGACCACAATTTTGTCGGCAAATTGAACAACAACCTAAAATAGGCAAGAGAGAAGTAGCTACAAGCAGTGGATATGGAATGGGAAATACGAATGTGGTAGAGTAACAAATTGCAACATCTGATGCTAAGGTTGACCGAGTTCAACAATAGGTTGCAAAGCTGGTTGATGAGAAACAGTTAATCGATGTGGAGGAAATACTGGATTCCGAGGTCTCGGGCTCTGCTTTGTGGATGAGAGTACGTAGGGAGACTAAGAGCTAAAGGATCCGTCAAAGATACACGAAACTCAGCCGTCGACGAAGATTNCNNTGACAAAACGGTGGAACGAATGNTGGAGGANCTAGATNAGTTGGTGAAAACTATGGTGTCAAGCTTCGTGACTATGGCTAAAAGTCATTCGAGCCAGGAGCGACAATATGGAAACAGAGGGTTAAGAAGATGAGATAGAACATGAACTCGATGTTATGCTAACAAAGAAGTTTTAATGCGGAAGCAACGACAATTCATGAGAAGATTCTTAAGCTAGAGAAGAAGAAATTTGCAAAAAGGAACATATTGCTTAAGGGGGACTGAGCTAAAGATGTAGAGGATCTCCGACAGAGAGATAGATGGAAGAGAAAACGGACAAAAGAATAAGGTGATAACACTTAATAAAAGATGAAAACAATGAAATATTTCTTCAGAAGTATCTTCACGCAAAGCAATACTTAGGAAGGGAATTCCAACCCCACTCTCCCACGAAACTCTACCCCTCTTCTCGTCTCATCCATTTCAGGATACTGGAGAGAGATCATGATCTCCACTACACTAACATAATTTACACTAACTTCTCGAAATAATTTACTCTCCAGTGGTAGACTAACTTAGGCGTTAGAGAGTTTTCAAAAGAATCTATCAAAAATATTCCTCATGATTATTACCTATGTATGATGCTACGCATATCCAAATGATCATTCTGGTTGTCTCACTAGAGAGGGTCGTTTAGGCATACGCGTCTCTCATCCTTCAAGAAAAAACTTCTATCTGGAGCTCTACGACTATTCACATATGGGACTCCAAAGTTTTATGTAAGACATCTACAATTTCGTACGGAAGATCCGATATCCAACTCAAACAACTAGGGCTAAAGAAGGAAAAAACCATGCGCTCCACCTAAAGAAGAGACAAACAATCATAATTTTGTTATAAAAAACCTTAATACGCGAAATATAGTCGGTTTTGTTTAAATTCAAACAGTTAGGTGATAGCTCTCAAATATCTTATATATGTAGAAACAAGCGAAAAAGTTTAAGTGGAACCTCATCGATGAAATTATTCTATGAAATCATGACAATGTAGAGGGCATCTTATTGCTGGAAGAGGAAAAGCCATGTAGCCCATGACGAATCAATGAATTGAATCATTTAACTCTAGCCTATGCCTATTTTTTTGTAAAACATTTAATGTGCCATTGTTAAGGTTTAGATATTATTGCTAGGTTTTACATCTATAATCAACAAATTTGATGGCATAAGGTTACCCAAAAAAAAATATATTTTACGTGTTTGT